TTATTGTCATTATCATTACCATCATTATTATAATCATTATCATTATCAGTAATATTGTCGGATAATGATAGTAAAGAGACGATGACAATTATAAAATAAAATTAGAATGATAATCAGTATTTATAATAATGATGATACTGGCAATGATTTTAACAATTATAATGATAGGGATAATAAGGATAAATTTATGATAATAATGATGAACTTAGAGATAACAATAATGAATTTAGAAATAGTAATGATGAATTCAGAAATAATAATGATGAATTTAGAGATAGAAATAATGAATTTAGAGATAATAATGATGAATTTATGACAACAACAACAACACAAACAACAACAACAACAAATCAACCTCTCCTTCTAGACACCAATGAACCGCTTTGTGAGGCGTCGTGGCCCTCATTTCTACCATCGGCCGGGTGTTGTCAGCGGCCGGGTGTTGTCAGCGCTCCTTCCGTCCGTCCAGTTGTCCTCTGCCACCCCGACGGCGCTACATCCGGAGGCTCTCCTGTCCCCCTCCCCCCCCCACCCCCCCTTCTGCATTCCTCTTCTAGTCTCGCGCCCCTAGAAAGCCCCATACCTTCTTCCTCCTGTTGGTATTAATACCTTTGTCCTCCCCACCCACTTCCCTTTTCCCTTTTCTCTTCTTTCCTTTCTCTTTTCCTCGTCTTCTCTTTCCTTCCCTCTCCTCTCTGTTGCTTATCTCTTTTTCTGTCCTCTTCTCTCGTCATCTCTCTTTCTTTTATGTTCTTCTCATTTTTTCCTTGACCTTCACCTTGTCTTCTTTCTTCTCCTTTCTTCACCTCTCCTCTTCTCTCGTTTCCTCTCTTCTTCTCTGTCGTCTCCTCTCCTCTCCTCTCCTCTCCTCTCGTTTCCTCTCTTCTTCTCCTTTCCTCTCCTCTTCCCTCTGCTCCGTTTCTCTCTCCCTCTTTTCCTATGCCTTTCCTTCCCCTTCCCTTTCGTCTAATCCCTCTCTCCTCCCTTCCGCTCTTTCTTTCCCATCTCCCCCTCCTTTCCCTCCCCCAACCTTCCTCCTTCCCTCCCCTCCTCCTTTTCTCTCCCATCCTCTCTTCTTCTCTCCTCCTCCCTCTTCCTCTCCCCCCAGTCCTCCTTTACCCCTTCCCTTCCCCCCTCCCTTTTCATCGCCTCTCCACCCCTCCTTTACCCCTTCCCTTCCCCCCTCCCTTTTCATCTCCTTTCCACCCCTCCTTTCCCCTCCCTTCCCCTTCCCTCCCCCTCCCCTCCCCTCCCCTCCTCTCCCCTCCCCTCCCCTCCCCTCCCCTCCCCTCTCCTCTTCTCCCCTCCCCTCCCCTCCCCTCCTTTCCCTTCCCCTTTCCTCTCCTGCTCCCCTCTTCTCCCCTCCCTATCCCCTCCCTTCCCCACCCCTCCCCTCCCATCCCTTCCCCTCCCCTCCCTTCCCCTCCCCTCCCCTCCCCTCTCTTCCCCTCCCCTCCCTTTCCCTCCCCTCCATTCCCCTCCCCTCCTCTCCCCTCTCTTCCCCTCTCCTCCCCTCCCCTTCCCTCCCTCCCCTCTTCTCCCCTCTCCTCCCCTCCTTCGGCTATATCTGTTTCCTCGTGTTTCCAGCAGATGGGGTTTATTTTAGGGGCGTTGTGTCCGTGGGAAGGGGGGGGTGCGAGGTTGGGGGTGGCGTGTGTGACTCGGCCTGTGAATTCTTCTTTTTCTCTTAGGCCTATTTTCGTTTGCGTGTTGTGTATATATATATATATATATATATATATATATATATATATATATATATATATATATATATATATATATATATATATATACTAAAAATGAAATGAAGTGAGAATAATAATTAAAAACATAAAAAAACTTTCTCTTTCGCATAATCTTCTTATTTACTTGTTTCCGAATTTTATTTGTCTATTTCTGTCTCTGTCTATCTGTCTGTCTGTCTGTCTCTCTCTCTCGTCTCTCTCTCTCTCTCTCTTATTCTCTCTCTCTCTCTGTTTTTTTTTTCTCTCTCTCTCTCTATCTCTTTCTCTCTCTCTCTCTCATTCTCTCTCTCTCTCTATTTCTCTCATTCTCTCTCTCTCTGCCTCTCTCTCTCTCTCTCTCTCTCTCTCTCTCTCTCTCTCTCTCTCTCTCTCTCTCTCTCTCTCTCTCTCTCTCTCTCTCTCTCTCTCTCTCTCTCTCTCTCTCATTATCTCTCTCTCTCTCTCTCTCTGTCTCTCTCTCTCATTCTCTCTCTCTCTCTCTCTCTCTCTCTCTCTCTCTCTCTCTCTCTCTCTCTCTCTCTCTCTCTCTCTCTCTCTCTCTCTCTCTCTCTCTCTCTCTCTCTCTTTCTTCCCCCCCTTTTTTCTATGTATCTATCTAACTCTCGCTCTTTCTTGCCCTTCATTTCTCTCCCCTTCTCTCATTTCCTCTCTCCCTCTTCCTTTCTCCTTCTCCACTTCTCCGGAATCTCGCAAAAAGGACGAACATGCCGGTCCAGTTCCGAGCGAAATTTGCTCGTCCGACAGCACGTGGCACT